TTAAAAGAGCTATACGATCATATTGATTCTAGATAGTTCATCAAACTCGTTGATTGTGTTTTATAGTAATGTATCTGTACAAGTTTCACCAACATTTATGTATTATGTTAAATGGAGAATGAACTAAAGCATAAAAAAAAAGGTTCTCAAACCACTTTCGGCAAGTGTTGTTAAGAGACTTCAAATAAATATTGTTCTAGTGTTTCTATGATTTGATTTTTGTTTTACTACTCGATTATGGTATATATATATTCTTTTCTATTAGTGACGTCCAAAAAATTTGCTTCTTTTTGTTCGACGCTCATCTGTAAAATTGTTTATTGCAAATACAAGCTTTATAATGATATCATTGACTGAACCCAATGATTAACTTATTCATTCACAAATATCAGTCAACTGTTTACGTCGTTTACTGATTTTCTTCAATAGATAAGAATGAATTCATGTTATATTGTAAGAAAAAATAGTATGATACATGATTTACAAGAACATTGTATAACGAATAAGGCTTTGCATCCATAGAACATTGATTTAAGAGATTTATTTGAATTATTTATTCGTCATGTTCAAAAACAATTCAGATAATATCAATTATCTCCAGAAATTTATTTCTATTGAAATGAATTCATATCATCAAATCTAATCCTATTGCATTATGATAGTTTCCCTATCCTGAAATCTCATTTTAGATTACGTGATTTTTTCATTCGTTTTTGACAGAATGTCTATATTTATATTGTCAGCCTAAGTAATCAATTAACTATTTTACAGCTACTTCGAAAGTATAACACATCTTCGACTAAAAATATTTGTTTTAGTACAAGTTCCTAGGGAAATTAAATAGGAGCATACTAGAAATTTACTTTAAATTGTCTTATATCGAACAACAAGATTTCCCATTTCTTTTTCTATCATCCTTCATTTATTGCACCTCTGACATATTGTTGAAATGAACACTTTACAGACGTTGGTAAAAAGAACAAAATTTTCCCAATAGATGACGACAATGCTACTATTCATTATGAATCAGTGAAAAAAGAATGTACGAATTTGGTATACCAATATATATATATGCCATATAACGTCAATCAAACTGAAATACAAAACAAAAACCGAGACCATTATTTGAGTTTGTCCACAATCATTATTCGTCTTTGAATTGAAGCGAAATTGGATAATGGTCAGAAATATCACCGACTTCATCGTGAACAGTTACTGGACATATAGCTAACTCTTTAAGTGATGCTGAGACGATAAAATAATCGATCCATATTTTTTCGAGAATACCCTGCTGATTGAAACCAACTCTAGTAGGCTTATCAGTTGTGATGGAAAACAATAGAGTGGAAGCTGGCTTTCCAACGGTAACCTTAGCAATCATTTCCATGAGAGCATTAGAGTAACGATTCATATCACCAACACACACAAATGACCTGTTATTTTCAGGCCACGGAATATTGCTCAGCAATAGAGTAGCTGCTTGATTGTCATATGGTACATGCACATTTACAATAGTTAGCCCAGATGCAGTTGTCAAAGTAAAAGCACCTTTACCATCATCAGTGGGACAGGGTGTCCAGAAAACTCTATCATCCGATAGAGCACATTTTTCTGTATTCTTCGATCTAATTGCTTTATCGGTAGATATAATGTTCGGATTATAATGAATCGTGACAAGACTCTCATTTGAGTCATTGTAGGGAGAAATACCTTGCCTGTTCCTAATTTGTAGTTTACGTGAATATGTGTGTATATGAATCAATGGTTTACTTGCTAAGACTGAGCCAACATGAGAATCACACATTTCATGTAACATTGGTAGTAAGTCACCGGGCACTTCTTGAAGACAGATGAAGCACTCCATGGTAGAATGGTTAATGAACAGTTGACTTAATATCTTTATAATGTCATCAAGTCGTCGTTTCTCATTGGACCAATTTTCATTAATTGAATAACGATTAATCACAGGACTGTTGTTTGATGAATAGTTTAACTCATGAATCATATGCAGCACGTTCCAGCTAATAACACCGAAACTTTGCTGTAGCTTCGGAGTCAAGTTGCCAACGTTGTCATTAGAAGACCATGCCGCTGGAGTCGCCATAAATGAAAGAAGCGAAGAATAGAAGATATAATAATAAAAAAACTTCTACAATTAAATTTTATTTTAATTTTTCTGCTGATGATCCATGTCTCCTAGAAGTAACGGAACGAAAACAAAAAAAAATAATACATTTTTTTACTGCATATTGCGTTGTGTAACAATATAATTGAAATATAACATATTGAATATATTAAATCAAACGTCATGCTTAGGGTTTCTATCAGTAACCGATAATGAAAAAAAAAAATACGAACAGATCTGGCATAACTCTACTGCCATGTAAAAGCTCGTAAAATGGTTAAATTTAAATGGTTTACAATATGATGATAAATTATTTCATATTATGAGTTTTAATCGGTTACAAACAAAGTTCTTATGCTGCTAAACTCAATTCATTTTCATCGTATAAAAATATTTTTCACAAAACGATTTTATTACGCACAAAAAAACAAAACATGTTGTGAAATTATGAATAAGTTATGAGTCATCGCATACATCGATGTGAAGCTACTATGAAGACCAATTAGAGAGTAAACATCAACATCCAATCAGAGTCCTTCCATGTTTTACAAAAGAACCTCCAAACAGTGTCTACCTTATAAAAAACACTCTAACCGCAAAAGAACTTTACTTTTTGAATTAAAACATAGTGCGGATCCATAACCTCATCAGATATTTGAAAGTTCCGACAAAACAGTACCAATGAAAAATGCTTCTACAAAAAATTTCCCATACACCTCAGGATCCATTCTCAACTAGTAATTTCCAACTATGTCTAATAAATCGTCCCTTGAAGCATTCAATTTTATATTCACAACTTGAATGCTTCTCTCCTAGCAACGATTTCGGAAAATTCATAAATAAAATACTACGACCATACAGCTCAAGCTCTGTTGGATAAATCTCCAGGTACATCAATTTACAGCGATCATCGATCGTACTGTCACGGCATGATTTACACATCAAACAATGCAGAATGGCATAAGCAATCTATTTGGCACCGAACTATGGCCCGAAAAACGATCTATAGTATCGAAAAATGGTCGACAGTTGCCCAAAACCCCTCAACACAATGATTGTTGATAAAATCGCCTTATGATTCCTATGCATTTCTTTGCTGGTGTACACTGCGGTATTCAATGGATTGCTCATGTTATTGTGCATCGATTGATGTGTAAACCATGCCTCAGCAAATGAATGCATAACAGCGGTGGATTTATTTATGATCGGATCATTCTGTACAGGACGTTTACGGCACTTGAATGATCGTCATGGCATCTTCCTATCGTTTATCGCCAGAAATAATTAGTTGTTGAGCCAACTTTCAGTAATCAATATCGACTGATGTTGGATTGATCTTTCCGTAAACAAATGATTATGTCTTTTTATATGCGCACTCTATCAGCTTCATCAATATCATTTACTATTCTTCTACTCTACCCAAATGAATGACTTTTTTCCTAAGTGTGTGCGTAAAGATTTGCCATGGCAATCGAAAGAACAGCAAAAAAAGTCTCAAAGACATGAAAAAATATTTATAAAAAAAGTTACATCTATAGAATTGCCAAGTACACGATAATGCATTTATTTTCATGAATCTATCCTTAATATCAATAATCAGACTGGCTGTTTTCTACAGTTGTTATTGAGAATAACCTTTCCTGAAGATGATTAACATTAGATCTTTTCTAATTATAAAATTAGACTGAAACAATCTGCTCTAATAGTGTAAAACTTATAATTTGAATTCAACTTTCAGTTTTTCAAATTTTACAAGATTTTTTTGTGCGTGTAGACGAGGTATGAAGTGGATGAGAGAAGATCGATTATTGTGGTTGTCTAAGAATAAAAATGTGAATTCGATGTGTATAAATGTGTTATTTTCACACTTACATTGTAACACTGAAGATAACCACCATCTGTAGAGCATTCTACTATTCCGTTAGTTTATAGTTTATCACTCTGAAAGGCTGCAAAACCATGAGTATATGTTTGTAAACTATTGACTTAATTATTGAGTTACACATTTGCTCAAATATATGAAAGCCATTGTATTCAGTTCTAATGAAGTATTTTCTGAGATCTAGGTAAGGTTTAAAAGACTCGAAATGAGGTACAGAATTCTTAGGAGTTAACATCATCGATATAGCATCTATAATATTTAAGAGAGAACCAACCATCTGGTATATGAGATTTAGAAATTCTGCTTCCTATAGTACAGATTCTGTAGCAATTCTTTGAGGAATCATAATCGATCAGTCTCAAATCGAAGAACGCAGAAAAAAATTTTCTGAAACGATTCGGTCATATATCACATTAAGGGTTCAATAGACAGCACATGTAAAGCAGCTTCATTCTGTTTAATGCTCTTTTTTTACATCAGTTAGAATAAGTGTGGTTTTTTCACATAGAAACTTAATACACCGTAGAATATCTCAGAAGTTTTAATCATTTCCAACATGATTTCATATTCTTCAGTCATGATATAACTTTTTCATTGAATAACATACGACAATTATCTATACGCTTAAAATACTCCAATTTTTTCTACTTTGCCATATTCTGTTCTTTGTGATTATTGATAGACAAATCAAACATAATTAGCACAGAGAAATTTATTTTTCGATCTTTTGAACTTGATGAGATGATTTGTAGAATTATTAGAATATTTTGTGATATGAAAAGCTAATCTAATTTAGAAAACAACAATAAAGTAATTAAACCTGAAATGTAAAAAAACGATTTTAGATAAACGTAGAAGTGCAATGTGGAAATATGTGAATTATTTTCCTTTTTTGTTACAGACATATCAATATGCTATTTGGAACTTTGAATAGAATTTAAAAAACCAAATTTTTTCCAATTTTATTGATTCTTTTATTTTAAACAGATAGCTTTAAATTTGAGTGCCATATTCTTGTCTCATTTGTCGTAATTTTTCAATGAGTCCTTCAATACCTTTGATGGCACGTCCATTCTCGAATGTTATTCGTTTACTACCCTCTGTCCAATTAACTTGAATCCATTCTGCTCCACCATCAGCACAATCAGGACATCCGATTGTACTACCCAATGCTTCAAAGACGTTCATATGAAGAAGAGAAATGAGCTCTTCCCATTGGTTTGATGAAAAAGGGAATGGTTGTCGAATGGGAGGATAGGGTTTTTGCACGGAATTTGCCTGTTTCGCAGCCACGATCTGTAAAGGATTTGAAGTCACATTGATCCATTGTTGACAATAACCACGACACATTCCAAAAGAACTTCCGCTGGAGATTGATCGAACATCTTTTATTTCAAGTTTGCCATAGGCTACTGCAAAAGTTGCAACGATGAGGAGATATTGCCATAAACCTTGCATGGTTTCTTTTATAAATATCAGTTGGTTTTATATAAAGCACTTAATAATATTCACTCACAAAAAAGAATGATATGGCATATTCTTTGTTCTCGATTAAATTATATATATCATTGATAGTAATTAAAAGAATATTTCCAAAGCAAATATTACTGAATCGATCGTATGAAAAGTATTCGCTCTTCTACAGGCTTTGTTCTTTCATTTCTATTTGATTCACTTTTCGTAACTTAAGATCGATGGATTACTTTCTCTGTGACTCAAAGAACGGTATGTATTGTTTTTCTTTTCTCAAATTTCTAATTGCACTGCTGATGTTGATCAGATGCAAACGACAAAAAAAATTGAATGAATTATACTCTAGATGAAGAGCGAAACTATTGATAGCTAGTGAATAACTTCTTTTTTTGTGAAGAAACGAAGGATAATCATTTGCTGAAGCATGAAAAAATATAATAAATGGTTCCAATATTTTGGTTGTGTCAAATGAGTGCAAACGAAACATTATCTGTTGGGAGACATGTGCTCGTTTTGTTTAGAAGTCTGCCTTTCATTGTAGTTTTCGAAAAATACAAACAGAAATAATATCTGCTCAGTTTTACTTGAAACATATGGGAGCAAGACTTGGTGGGTGTGAGCGGGTTTGGGTGAAAGAAGGCATAAGTCATGACTTCATTCTAATCCACCACTAACATTCATAGAAGATTCTCGGAAACCTATAGGCCAAAACGTTTAGATCAATTAAATACTTTGCTGCAAAATATTAATGTAATCATTAATATGAAAATTTTTGTGTAAGGATGTCGACTAGATGGAGATGTTGATGTTGACACTTTTAGTTAGGGGTGAGAAAGTTATTGTTATTTTTTTTTGTTATTATAACAATAACATTCATTTTGTGATTCAAAAACATTAATGAAACAAGTGCAAGCATAGTTTGTACGTACGTCAAAAAATCACTTTATTCATACAGTATCTTTATTACCATTTGATATAAGAACCAGCCGTAAAAATTTTGAGAAATCGTAAAATAACTTTTTTTGTTATTGTTATACAAAAATAACAATAGGAGTAACAATACCAATAACAATAACAAAAAAAGTTATTTTACGATTTCTCAAAATTTTTACGGCTGGTTCTTATATCAAATGGTAATAAAGATACTGTATGAATAAAGTGATTTTTTGACGTACGCACAAACTATGCTTACACTTGTTTCATTAATGTTTTTGAATCAAAAAGTGAATGTTATTGTTATAATAACAAAAAAAAATAACAATAACTTTCTCACCCCTACTTTTAGTTATGATGTATGAATATTTGAGTAGCGATTTATTATTTTTTTCTGCATGTGTATATTAATGTTGTTTTTTTTTGTACTGTGCTGAGCATTCTGTAGTGAAAACGAAAAAATTTTTAGTTACTCCCTTTGCTATGGACTTAGCAAGTAACACAGACAGTGATATGTACAACTGAAGTTAATTCAAACACGTCGAGTAGATTCTTTCAATGTTTTGACCAATCAAGCCAATGTGATGAAATACATTATACTTCTAATATCAACCGACACATAGATTAAGACCATTGCCCACGAAAAAATTCTTCCGAAAAAAACCGCGGTAATCTGAGGTTAACCGCGGTTTTGTTCCACATTTTGAAAAATCGCGAAAGTCAGACCTTTTATGCGGTTTTTGGAAACCGGCGAAAACCGCGGTTTGCAAATACCGCGATGAGAACCGAGAAAACCGCGGTTAGACCTACAAAAACTCAGCTCGGGCCGCGATTTTCTCGGTTCTCACCACGGTATTTGCAAACCGTGGTTTTCGCCGGTTTCAAAAACCGCATGAAAGGTCTGACTTTCGCGGTTTATGAAACCGCGGTTTTTTCTTGAAAAATTTTTCCGTGGGTGAAGTGAATGCTAGAATGTTTTAGAATGAACATGTTTCGACCCGAACCGATATGAATCTGACAATTTTTTCTTTTGTTATCTTCCGACTTGGATATGTTCTTGTTGCATTCATTTGTAGATAAGGCGTCTAAGTCATTCAATCCAGATTCATAGCTAATTATGAGGTATGCATAAAAAAAATGAAATCAAACAATGTTTCTATATCCTTTCAAACATCTGACATCGAGATAAATCATAATGATTGCTTGACAATTTGAGCTTCAATGAACAATCATTGAAGATGATCAAGAAGAAAATCCCATTTGTGAAATTTTCACTACGACTACCATGTACATTTACGAAAAAGGACAATTCAATTACATTCGAAAACTGGCAGACAAGACATATCTGACATATTGAAATAATAAGAAATATGTGTATAACTTGATAAAATGAAAGAAAAAAAAAACGCACTGCACAATAACGTAAAATATAATAATTTGAACATAGAGAATTGAAAGAAGCATCGTTGACCAATGGAGAATAGTACATCATATTGTTTCAATAAGAAGACAAGAAATAAAGATATTGGTATAAACGTACAGAGAGAGAGAGAGAGAAAGCAATTGAAAAAAAAATGAACACTCGACTGATCAATTCCAATCGAAAAGGTTGAACAATGTGATAGTAGAAACAGAAAACTAAACGGAGAAAAATTATGGTCATAAACGTGTACTTGCTGTTTAGAAAACTGTCTGACACCATTGCATTAATATACTAATGCTAAGGAATCATAATTAGAATAACTAAACTAGACGCAATCTTTGAAAATTTATTTCGGGAGTTTAAAAAAGTTTTTTTCAAGTATCTAGCGTTTGCAATGAAAACTAATTCTCTTTTCCTGAATCACTTATCCAACTGTTAGATTGAGTGCTATGAGACATTGTTTCAGTTCATAGTAGAACAAATCAAGTTGATGCGTCAAATCTGATAATTATTGGTTAAATTCAACTTGGTTATCAACCAGTTCGTCGATGATTTCATTTACTTGAATTTTAATAGCTTTCATGTTGTATTTTCAATCAGCTTGATGTTTTATACCATCGAAGAGTTGCTGAATATTGTCAGTGATACAATAAACATAATATCTGAACTTCTTACTTAAAAAAGAAGAAGATATTTGTATCGTTATTGTTGAAAAACTAAGATTCTTAGGTTTTTTTCTATAAGCGTCTTTAATTTATTCTGTAAATAGAAAGAGTATTCGTTTCCAATAATGGCTCAGTAATGAAACTTGTTGTTATATTTTTTATGATAGATTGAGTCTTGATTATCGTTAAGTCAAGAATGGCAAGGGAGAATTTAATTTCCACATTCTGAAAGTGGAGCTAACGTACGACCCCAATGACGAAGCGCATTGTTCAATAATTGTTGAGTTTGACGAAATGAGGGTTGAGGACCATTTTGGCTAGCAAAGGAAATACTTTTTTCAATGCCACATATTTCTATTGATTCTAAGTTTCTAGAATCGACTAATTCTTTCATCATTTTAGGACTACCATAAACAGCTTTGCCATCAATTAAGACAAGCAAAACATCTTCTGGTATGGAATGAGTAGCAGCCCAATACGGATTAAATTTAGATTGATTATTATTCAGTTGTAGCACGAGTACATCAGCTAGATATCCTTCTTTTAATAAACCCAAGCGTTTATCCAAATGGATTAATTTAGCTGGATTAATTGTTGCCATTTCTAATAGTAAACGATCATCGAAGACAGAATATTCTAAACCAGCATTCCATGTGGCAGCATAATTCAATTCACTGAGTAGACCATCACTACCCGTAGGACTCCAATCAGGAGCAATGGCCGTAATAATATGATTTTCTAATGCTGCTTCTAGATTTACTGTATCACCATAGAGTTCTAAATTAGTACGTGGTGACCAAATTAAACCAACGCTAGCATTTGCCATGGCCCGCAAATCATTTTCTTTTAAAGCAACACCATGAATAAGTGAGACTCCTGTTCTTAATAAACCACGAGCCTTTAACATAAGAAATTCTCTTGCTGCTGTTGCATCCTGCGGTGAGCCTTCTGCAAGATGAATAAATAATGTACCATTAGAAGATAGAACCTCATTTACTTCTTTCAATTCCATATCTGTCATTTGTAATGGAAAAACATTATAAAGAATCTGTCCGAGTGTTGGATCATCATCAAGATTACGTGCTAATCCTCGATTGCAAGGTCTTCGTAAACCACCAATTACACTTGTGGCACCTTGTGTAATGGCTTTTACTTCTGCATATCGTTGCATTTCACACGACAGACCAGCTTTAACTAGTTCTCTGTGTGGTGTTGCAAGAAGTATCTTATAAATTGGTTTTTGTTGCCAATCATAACGACTACCAAATTCTTCCGAAGGTTTCCAACGTGGAAAAATATTCCATGTTAGATGATTATGTAGATCGATAAGACCTGGCAAAATAACACCATTAGTATGTAAAACAATAGCATTATTTGGAATGGAAACGCTAGCACCTACTGCTTCAATGTATCCATCAACAATTAGTAATGTTCCATTGTTGATACTTTGGCCAGGTAAAAGTATGGTACCAATTAATGCAATTGGTTTCTCTTGTCCTAGGACACAGGTAACCAAGCGCAGTATTATGAAGTAATACAGTCTTCTCAACATATTGTTTTTTTTTCGAATGACTAAATGTGCAACAGATGACATCTGATGACATTCAGATATAAAGAAACCATCAGTAAATAGTAATTGTTAAGCCATTCCGTTCGGTGGTCGACATTTATCTATGTCACATATTTGTGTTAAATCCGAATGGGATTATCAATGCACGTATACTCCACATCATGCCTTAGATGTCAGTAGAAAATATGATATTTTGATCAGCTTAATAACATCACATGTGTTTAGACGCGCTTATGAAAAAGATATTTAAGTGAATATAAACATTTTTGTATATCGATGTTTTTCAAAAATAGTAGAATATTTTTTTTTTTAATTTCTATACATATCATTTTAGTAATTAATCATCTCTGCTTATTAAATGTCGTATGATATTGAAAAGATAGATTAAATATTTTTATTCTTTATTTTTACTGCACGCTTAAATCATCTCAATAGTTCATGTTGTAGTAATATAATGACATGAAATCCGATTGAAATGCTATCTCCACTAAATGGATTTTGCATCAGACGATTTTTCTTCTGTTGCTATACGAACATAGACACTTATCTTGAAAAACTGAAGGCACTCGATTTTTTCTGTGCTTCTGCTCTTACGCATTGATAGTATAAATAGCTAGTGATTTAAATTATTAAATAATACATATATCTACATATTTTCTTGGTATTTTTTGATGACATTAAAATACTAAGAGAATAAGGACTATTAGAATTTACAGAAGAAAAAGTATAAATTAATGCTGGTAACAGAGATATAGTCAAAAAAAACACATTGATTTCGAAACATAACAAATGAATATCACTAAAAGACACAGGTAGAGAACATTTTTTTGTTCCAAAGATTTGACCTACCTGTTGATTTATTGATTGTACAAAATTTTCGTTTTTCTTTTTTGAATAAATAACAAAATACAGTCGGGGACAAAAATTTAAGCAAATTTGTATTTTTCAACTTTTTCATGCGTTTATTTTTTTTAAATTTTCTTTCACATTATTATAGTGTAAGAGTCTTATCAAAATGGTGATTTAGATAGTATGAGACGCGGGCTACACGATACACTCAAATAGAAAGGAACTGCATCTATTAAAATAGATTTTATATAATGAAAATTATTTTTCTCTGCATCAATAAATTTAAGTGCTTTCCAGTATTTTGCATTTCCTAACAAAGAGATTTACCCTAAAACGAAGGAAACATAGACCAGTCGATTGAGAATTTCACGCTCTATCTGTTTCTAAAAAAATGTTTTCTTTTTAGAGTTGGTCTTCACTTCAAAAACTTGATTTTAGTGAGAATCGTCGGGAAAACGGAAAACGTGCAATCGGTCTTTACGGATTCTCTCTTATTGCAATCTATTACACACCAATGGAAAGAGCATTCAAAACAGAACAAAATGGCATATTTGAAGTTCCAATATCACTAGTTTTCCACGTCCATCGTTTTAAAAAAAGTGTTCGGAAACATCACTAACTTTTCTTTTAACTCTAAGAAGAAAACATTTTTTAGAAACAGATAGAGCGTGAAATTCTCTATCGACTGGTCTATGTTTCCTTCGTTTTAGGTTAAATCTCTTTGTTAGGAAATGCAAAATACTGGAAAGCACTTAAATTTATTGATGCAGAGAAAAATAATTTTCATTATATAAAATCTATTTTAATAGGTGCAGTTCCTTTCTATTTTAGTGTATCATGTAGCCCGCGTCTCATACTATCTAAATCACCATTTTAATAAGACTCTTACACTATAATAATATGAAAGAAAATTTAAAAAAATAAACGCATGAAAAAGTTGAAAAATACAAATTCGCTTAAATTTTTGTCCCCGACTGTATATTATTGCATTGCAACATGTGAACATAAAAGAAAGTACAATAAAAATTTCAAGATACTTAGGTACTTCAGCAATTCATAAATACGTACATATTATTCGAATGAAAATACTTACATGATCGAAGAGAATTGAAATGCATTTTAGTAATCTTTTCGACGTTCCTGAGTACGTTTTTGTTCATAATGTAAACTGAAATTTGTTTCAATTGAATAGCAAAATACCTATTAAACAATAAAAGCCACGACATGAAGTGAAATGAAAAAATTCAATTTTGCAGAAATATGTAAGACAAGATAATTTTTTTCTTCTATTATCTACTTTTTCATGACATCTGATTGTTACTCTTATCTCATGAAGGAAAGATTACTTTAAGTATGAGTAAGAATAGAATAAATGATTGCTATCTCAATCAGGAGAAATAAAGACATATATCAGAATAAAAAAAAATGAAAATGAAAATGAGCTATTTTAACACAAGAAAATGGCAACAATCTTCATGTAAGATGAAGTGTTTAATTTTAAACATGACAGAACTTCGGATAAAAAGGGATATGTAGTTAAAATATTTTCATCTTATCTTAATAAAAAAAATAAATATATATTGAAAAACAAACCAAGATAGAGAAAAGAAAAGCTTAGTTCACTGTTTACTATTATGATTATTATGTCTGATGACAATTTCAGGAAAATAAATTGTAAACTTCTATTTGATTGCTTCGTTTATGAAAGGTCTAGTGGCTTTCGAAGGATTCAATTGTAACTATGCAGAGTAGTTCTCTTTGTTGCTAGGTATCTTCGGTTCTCAATGGTTTTCAACTCTTGTTCAAGCTTCATCGCATTCAATCAGACAATCAGCATAGCATAAAAGAGAACTAACAGGAATAAAAGTCAAACTGGCATCGATATACCAGTAAATATACATGAGTCAATCGATTGATGCTGTTCAATCTTAACTATTGTATTCAGACCACAATCGGCATTTAATGAGTGAGTTGTGGTACGAATGTAGGTCTTTAGTTCCACTCCCATTCATATCATCATACAATCCATCAAATTAAGGTGAAATCTATAGTCTTCTTATTAGATATGGAGCCTAACACGAGGATAAGTTGTAGTTACTTTAAACAATTTCCCATGATTCTCTATAGGTTTTTCTTATATTGGGGCTTCTGTCTATTGCGATTTTTGTTATTTGATAATGAATAATAGTTTTTATTTTTTCGTAACATTTCGATAAATTCAAAATGTGAATACCAATCTTCAATTATTGTTTATTAGCGAGATCATCTCAAAGATCATTTCATGAAATAAATCGTCTTGTTTGGCATGTCACTCTCATCCTCACATGATGTTTTACGTGACTAAATCATAAGTTTAGAAATTGAGGTTTATTAAAAGTGACATAGAAATCACGCTTCTGTTAAACATACGATTATTTCTGCAGTATGACTAATTGTCGTAGCGTCTGTTTGTCGCTGCAGCCAATTGATGTCGCCCAAGTGTCATGCAACTAATTCTTGTTTTCCTATAAAATTGATGTGAAAAAAAAAGCATTTCATTTTTAAATATTTATTAAATATATTAATTTGATAACTGAAAAAAAAAGAATCAAATTGAATTGTTCATCATACTATTTCACATAATTTCAAAATAGATTTACAAACTCATTTTAATTTAAAGTCATTTCTTTTCTAGCGAAAAAAACATTAAATAATTAGTTGAAAAAATAAAAATGCAATATTTGTTAACTATATTGAGATAACAGGTCTTCCAAATTTGATAAGAACAAATAATTATACTGCAGATTTAATATTTTTCATAAAAAAAGTAAACGCTAATAAAGGTATTTTTATGGAGGAAAAAATATAAAATTTGTATGGTTGAATAAAACAACCGAACAAAACTTCAACAAGACTTTTTTCCCAGTGTTCTTTTTTCTCCTTCTCTTCTGCTTACCTTTGAGCACATTGCAGACAACAGAAGAATAAGTTAAGTTCTGTAGTGTATGTAAAAAAAAAATCTAAATCCGATCGTATATTAATGGAAGATTTCATAACAACAGCGCGAGCAGAATTAAGAAAATTTGATAATATTCTTAACAATGATATTGAAGAATTTAATACAAAATTAAATTCAACTCGAGAAGATGTTCATAATTATATTCAACGACAAATTCAATATTTGCTCAATTTTGAAAAAGAATATGAACAAGAATGTGATTATCTCGATGAAGAAAACAAAAAAACATGTAAAAATAATCGACAACAATTTGATAAATTATGTATATCAATAAATCAAAACGATAATAATTCAATAATAGTAGAAAAATTACTGCACGATTTTCAACAAACATTTCCTATGAGACCACTTATGTTGAAATCTATTCCTGAATATTATTTTAAAGATATCCATATAAATGATTTTATTCAAAAACGAAAAGTAGATCAAAACGAATTTGAAAACAACGTCTTAACATTACCAACACATGATTATAATTCATTGTCTACTATGACAAATGATGACATTTTAACTGAGAATATCAAATCAAATCAACATTTATATTTAAATGATCAATCCGAACTTTTATGGTAAAGTATCATTAAAATAAATATATCAATTGTTTTTTTTTCTTTCTTTCTTTCTTTCTTAATAGCTCATCTAATCAATCACCACCTATGAACGAACGTTCATTTATTCCTATTGAATCATCACCAACTGATGATAGACAAAGTTCTCAAATAGTATCTGGTTCAATAGGTTTTTCACACCATAAACAACTTGCTTCGCAGTGAATTTCTTATTTTCTTATTAAAAAAAATGTCTTCTAAATTGAATAATTTAGAAATAATGAAATTGGCATTGAACCACAATCTCGTTTAGTTTCAACTTGTTCAACCATAAATGAAGCTGATACAATGATTCATCTTTTATTTAAAATTCCTTATCAACATAATCGAAAACCATACTTAATAGCTTATCATGAAGATGAAAACTATTTAATCATTTATTCATTAATTTCTTGTCAATTAGAATGTTTATGCCTTAAATCTCGTCAAATCTCTCTTATTAATTTACCATCCAACGAACATTTATTGAATCTTGGTTATTCAACAAATTATCATTTATTCTACTTTAGCAGTCAAAAAACAAAGAATTTTGTATTATTTCGTTTAAATCAACAACAAATTGAATTTGAACAAGAAATTAATTTAATCAAAAACAATGATGAACTTATAAGTGTACATATGTATGAAAATTTGGTATTCTTTTTATATACATCCTCATCTATAATTATGCTTGGCAAATATGATATAGAAAAATCATCTTTTATGTCTCCATTTAGTTTTGAAAATAATCTTTATGATGATATAGAACAATCTAAATATGAAATAATTGATTTTGCAATTAATAATTTCTACATAAGTTTTTTAGTTCGTTTAAAAAATAAACGTAAGTTTATGATTATTATACATGATTCTGCAACTATGGATCGACTTCATTCGTTTGATTTAATTGACGCAATTAATCCATTAACAATTATTTCAACTGATAAGTAAACTGAAAATTTTCTTTTATATTCTTTTTAAAATTTGTTTTTATTTGTTGACAGAAAATCGAAATCGACGGCGACAACCACATGTAATGACCATATTGAATTATTATTATTTGTCAATGATCCAAAAAGTCATTTAATACATTGTTGTACTCATCAACAATATCTTATACCAATTCAAGTGAATGCCTTTGGGATTTGTCCATTAAACAATGGAAATCTAGCTTTAGTTGCAAGTAGAGACATTCGAGGATTAAAAGTTCAAGATTATCTTCAAGAAAATAATATTCATTTTGATTGAAAGAAAATGTTATTATTATTGTTTGTACAAAATAAATATTGCCAATAAAATTTAAATCATGTTTCAAAAAATCAATTATGTTTAATTTGTAGAAAATTATTGATCGTAGACTGGAATTTCAAAGCAGTTCAAAAATCGTTGTAATATCAATTCTCATTCAAGAATAATCATACACCACTTTGGAAACAAAAATTTACTTCGAAGATAAATTTTATCATAGTTACTATACATATTTTTTTCTATATTTTTTTAATATAAAATTCTGATTTTCAATAATAAACATTGGAATAATGAAATTTTCTAAGTTTTTTATCGATATGATTTTGATTAACAATAGTATTTTTATTTATGTTATCAGCAATATTATGTAGCTGTTCTCAGTGGAATATAAATCTATATAATGATTATATCATGGTAAAATGCTGTTGCGGTAAGTGTAGGCTTGGACGCATAAGTATTGATGAAGTAAAGATCATTACACCTATACGATCACATAATTTGTCTATCTATATCCTAATGTGCGCCTTCAAAATACACCATCGTATGTTGAGTCTGGGTGAATGAATAGAGGATTTCATCTACAGGGTGGCCCATAAGTTACCCGGCACTCTTTTATTGCGAATAACTTTTGATAGGAACAAGATATAGACCTGCGGTTTTCAACATTCAAAAGAGCGATGTTCGGATCATCGATTCATATAATATTCACTAAGACGAAAGACGCTTTTTCATACGAGCTTTTCGATCAACATTCTTTTTTTGTGTGTTTTGATAAATTTCCACAATAATTTCATCTCAAATTATGCCAAAATGTATTTCAAATCACCCATTTTTTACTATAGAATTACCACTTTATGCATTATTCTGTCGACCTCTTTTTTCAAGTGAAACTTCGAAAAATAGTGATCATTTTATAGCGAAAAATGAGTGATTTAAGCTACATTTTGGCGTAATTTGAGACGAGATTATTGTGAAAATTTATGAAAATACACAAAAAAAAAGAATACCAATTGAAAAGCTCCTATGAAAAAGCATCTTTCGTCTTAGTGAATAGTATATGAATCGATGGTCCGAACATCGCTCTTTTGAATGTTGAAAACCACAGGTCTATATCTTGTTCCTATCAAAAATTATTCGCAATAAAAGAGTGCCGGGTAACTTATGGCCCACACTATATATTCATACCCACATCAACACTCTCAAGATTTCGTTCTAGCCTAATATCTGAATCCGCGACTCAATTTCTATATCCTTTAGAAAGATGCATTCAAAACTGTACAAAGAACCACGTCGAAAACTTTCATCATTTAATAAGTCAAACAATCCGTATTACACTGATATGGAACAGTGGATTCACGGCTTCCCATACTTATATGACTTTATGGATTTCGGAACCCTTGCCAAAATAGGAGATCCGTACCGATGATCAGGCATACTGAGCGTTCGAATCAGCTGGTCTACGCTAAACTTGTCGTCATCAGGATGCAATTTAGAACGGCAAGGGCTCCGCTTGTTCACCTGTAAGTATTAGCTTTCTCTTCACTCACATACGCATCTCTATATTATGATTCTTCTCATTAAGATTACTACTGCGACTCTAACTAGTTGAACACCGATCTATATTCCCATTCCCAGAGAGTAACAGCTGGCTACTAATATTAAGCTGTCCAACAATGTGAAAAATAGCATCTTCATCTTTCCAGCTGATTGTTACACTTATGAATTTTTCAAAAAAATCTAATTGTTTAAGCTTAAAGTCGTCTGAGGGTGTGTGGTGTGGGTCAGAGACTTATTTTTACTCACACCCATACCCACACTCTTTTTTCACTTACTTCATTCAAGTTTTCAGTGTTTCACTGAAAACAAAATAAATAAATGGCTCCGAAGACTACCTTACATCATTATCTTGCTCTGACATCTTGCAAAAAACTAAACTACGTTCTGGCACGCAATACATTACTAAGTTTATCACTCTCACAATGACAAATGCAGGCATATGATGCCAAAGACTTCATCATAATAACATGCTTCCGCAATTTAAATCAACTGTCAGCCATCTTATATATGTCTCATCAAGTCTTTGAGAATCCCATGAGTCCAACCGCCGGATTGAGTTCCACAGATGTAAAATTTTCTTGAGTACACAACTCATTCATCATATTGAGACTTTACTAAACAACCCAAGATACACATTCATACACAACAGATAGAATTTTCTGAACTCAAAATCGTTCAGAATAGGACCACAGATAATACTATTCATCATAACAGCAATCGAAACGGAGATAACGCTACTAACCACTCTATTACAGATTTCAATGCCACAACTTCCACAAACCATGAAATTCTACAGATGAAAATTACCTCTATCAGTCGAAAACAGTCAACCAAAAACGTCCAACTGAAATTCTGCCAGAAAAATGCTCTCATATACTGGATTTGCTCCAAAATCACCACTTTTTTCTCAACAGTCTCGACTCAAACTCAATTCCATCCATAGCACATCAAATTTTGCATCTCATCCAATCGGTAAGAAGGTTAACACAAGTGTAGAAGCGAATTCTGGTTAGGTTTACTTCCGAAGACCTGTATATGGGCCCGTATTTGGGATGAAGCTTCCAGTTTTAGCCCTATGATCCCTATTAAAAATAGTACCATTTGATAGAGAATTAAATTCTGCACATTGTGCAAGTCATTAGAAAATTACTACACGTCGAGGAACGAATCGGAGCTGGAATTACTCGAATTCGGTGCTAACTTTACTTACATGGAAAAGAATTGAAGTTTTTCTAAATTTTTTTTTCCGTGGATCTTTTTTCAATAAAAGTGTTACACTAATTTGAAGCGTGTAATGTACTATCAAATGATTTAATGCTCAAACTTCTGCATATCATGGCTTTGAGAAATATTGAATTCAAATGCTAAAGTTTTGGTGCCATACGGTTCATCGTTGAGAGTGCAAAAAAAAGTGTAGGGAAACGATATAGATTTGTGGAAAATTTAATTGTTACCCCTGAAAAATCGAGCTTCCGCTGTTCACGGATTCAAGTTGTGTTTTGTTGAAAGGATTTCTCAATGTTTTGAAATAACTCCTTCTTATCTCAACCATATAATGAGGTTGTTTATGGATGAAGTTGCAAAAAAAAGTAGTGTGATCTATCGTGTCATTTACTTGACAAGTCAGGAGCAGCTGTTGATACTTGAATTGTAACCGTTTGACATCGTGAGGTAACAAGCTGGAGAAGTGTCTTACCGCCGTCCTCAGTAATAATGTTTATTAACCTACTTCACAGACAACGTATACTTACATGGGAAAGAACAGTAGAAATAAGATAAATGAGAAAGGAAGATAAGCAGGAAGTGATATCAATATTGACACAGATGGTGGGTTCAATGATGAAAAGTCAAGACTGAATGACAGGAGTTCGAGAAGCAGCTGAAGTTTCACGAAGTTTAATTGTGCTATTCAATATTTGAGTTGAGACATCATCGAAAGCCTTTGAATCAAGCATCGAAATTTTGAGCTACTTGTTTCAACTGCTAGGTCACTTCTCTTGAGTATTAGACAAAGTAGTTAATTGTAAGCTCAGTTAGTTAGGTTCCATAGTTATTTACGATGGACTGTACCGTTGTAAGACTAGATTTAATAGTATGTGTACGCTTCTTCTGAGCTTGAAATTCCTCACGAAATGTGATGAAGTATTCCTATAGCATTTAACCTTCTGAGTCTGTCATGATGTGAAACAAATAGGGTTCCTTTTCCGCTGAAATATATGTGTGTAAAATACGTGAAGTGTTCGTCTGATGTAATCGCTACTTGTAACACAGCAGCTGACTCAGTTATGCTTTATGTTTCTAATGAACGAAAAAAACTACTAACAACACGTTAAGCAAGAAAAAAAAAGGAAGTGAAAAGATAAAGCAGACATGTTTATTATCTTTCAGCCAGTAATTCCAGTAACAAATGTTAAAGAAGATAAATAATAATGGTGTCGAATGTCGTCACACTTGTCTGTAATCGCCCCTTCGTTATTACATATGTGCATTTATTTGAAAAGCTTCTTATATAAATATCAATATTACATTGTTTTTTTGCATTATTTAGTGTATATTTCAAATGAAATTTCTGCTAAAATTAGTACTGTATTGTCAGAACCTTTGATGCAACATTTACTCATACAGTATGCTACATTCTTGTTGAGTCAAGTCTATAAAAAGCTTCTAATAAATACTAAGAGTGTGACGACGATGAATAAGGTTTGAACTCATAAAGTATGCAGTAAAAACCATATTTCGATTTTGGCCACTAAATATGAGCGACATGCAGGTTTTATGAATAGAACAATAGTTTATTTGGTATATGTGATATGTGTTCATTCAAATATAAATCTCTTGTAGGATCAATCACTACATGTGTACGAAACAGATCAATTAAAATCTTTTTTTCTTTTGAATGATAATAAAAACATGTATAATATATCGGTAAAAGATTGATTGAAAGCTGATGACATACATATATTCTGGTCTTTGCGAATTCATCCATTTTGATATCGAGTTACTAAGGATTTGTCAAAGTTTATTTTTATGGCGTAGACTAGGAAAATCTATTATAGTTTATGATTTTCTGTATCTTCTAATAAATACTTTTACCTCACAGATATATTATCTAGATTAATATTTCTGCATAGTTTATTAACGGAAAACTGACATGAAATACGCACATAAATTATAGTTTGTTTCTGAATGTTTCCGTTCCAAATATTTGCTGATCGAGATATGAGAATAAATATTTATTATATATTGTAACAAAAAGTCATGCATTTTAGAGTATATAGCAATGACGTCATCACAACTGAACAAATAATGCCAGAAAAGTCTCAAATATAATAAATATAATCCTATGAGTCATTTTTAGCGGTGATGAAATCATCTGAATGATTATTTCAATTAATATGAAACAATATCTGCATTTTCTTTTGCCATGAAGAAAAAGAACACGA